TGAGAGTGGGAAGATGATTTGGAATTATTTAAAGATTTCGATATCTAATTTCCAACTTATACCATCTTTCCCACGTAACAAAGATGAAAACTTCAAGTCTTGAGATCCGACACAATCAAGCAAAATATACACAATTTAAAGTACTAAAGTGTACTAGCATTTGATTAATAACATGGCTTGCGTATGTCCTAACTCAAGGTAAGGTATTCCCGTCAACTAAAGAGGTCTCCAAACTAAAGGTACAAGATTTTCCCCTTTTTCTTGATATTAAGGACCAACAATATATATATTCGAGAAGGGTATTCGCGTCCCTTTATTTTCATATCCAAAACTAAGGATTTCATCTAATACATGCGAGTAAATAAGGCATGGGAATAGTAAGATCTTATATATATATATATATATATTTATATCAACAGTATTTATTCTCACCTAAGGAGTTTAAGATGGACTCACCTTTATGGGCTTTGGATAAGCCCCGAAAATTAAAGTAAAAGGCTGAAAGTGGTAATCGGTCCTTGATTTACTAAGGCGGTCCCAACAGTAACTACGGCTGCCTCTTCAACTGCCTTTTCTTTGCTGCCGCACGCGTAAAACAGTAGTTGTCTGGCTGCTCGATTCTCCGCTGCTGCACGTAAAACAGCAGCTGTTTGCTGTTGCTGTTTACCACAAAAGACAGGGAAACAGCGCCCTTTCGGCCCGCTGTTTGTTGCTGCTGTTTCGGCTAAAAGAAGACGGGTAAACAACCCCTTTTTTCTTGATGTTTTGCTGCTATTGCTGGTGGTCCGAAAGGCACGCAGGTAGCGCCTCTTGCTGCTGTTGCGGGTCGAGAAAACAGTTCCGGCTGCTGCTGTTCGGTTCTGTGCAGGCCGCCACAGACATAACACGACAACACAGCTACTGCTGCTGTCTGGGCGAAAAAGACGGAGAAACAGCCCCCCCCCCCTTCGACTGTTGATCTGCTGTTTCCTTCCGGCCTGTTGCGTACAGCTGCTACTACCGAGAGGGCCACGGGACGACAACCACGCAGCCTAACTTGCTGCTGCTGTTGTCGAGAGAACCACTAAACAGCAAAAACGCAGCCTAACTTGCTGCTGCTGCTGCTTCTGTGAGACGGAAGAGGGCATCGACTTCTTCGGTTCTTCTTTCTGTTTCGTCGCCCCAAACAGCAGGTAAGAGTGATGCCTCTTCTTTCTTTCTCTTCTTTCCCCACTGTGAAGCCCTCTCCTCTTAACACCCTTCCCCATGGTTTTCACTCTATACAAGGGGTTAATGACCTAAATGGAAGGAGGAAATTCACAAGGTAAGGATTGTGATGGAAAGGGTAGGTCAGAGTAGCTGTCAACCCCCCCCCCTTCTTTTCAACTAACACACTTCAGATTAGCAATACCCCTCCCCTTTTCTAAAAAGAAAATTATTTAAACAATAATATGAAAATACATATATTATATAACTACCCACACAAAACACTTTACAAAAGGAGAAAAAGAAAGAAAAAGGAGGAAAAAGAAAAATTGCGCAAGGATGACACGCACAAATCGAGAAATGGTCCAAATTTTTGGTGTAACAGCCGCGATGCGGGTGTGTCACTCGTCCCACATCGGTTGGGAAGGAGAACGAAGCACTCCTTATAAGGGTGTGGATACCTTCTCTAGTAAGACGCGTTTTGGGTGGGATACGAGCTTCGGTTCATGCCCATGCCAGGAGAAAACCGTGCGGCTACTGCTTTGTGGTATAGCGGGCAGGTTAGCCAAAGCGGACAATATCTTGCTACGGGGTTCTGGGGGCGTTACAAAAACAAACCGCAAACGTGCTTAAATTCTTGTTTTTCTAATGGAATTCTTGTCGTTATGATTATGAAGTTGTTATTATAATATAAAAAAATATGCTTATCTATATATATATATATATATATATAAATAAATATAAAATTCAAATTCAACCACCCAACCTATTTATAAAAAATATATTTGATATAGATTAGCGATAAATAGTCACTTATATGATTCTAATTATTTATTCAGTAAAACAACCAAATATAGATTGAGAGTAAATTGGTCATTTCTGACATTTATTTATTCAGCATAACTAAACAACAACTTAATGTTATCATACAGACAACTTTATGTACACATGTTTTAAAGAAAAAAAACCGAACAATACTTAATTTTAAATATAATGGTTTTATATTTAAGACCCAATGATTTTTTTTTAAAAATATCTTGTACATTATTTGTTTTAGCAGCCTTGTGATTGGTGAAAAACAAAGAATAAACGTGTTCACTAAAACAATAATAATTATGTCAAATAATTAAGTTGCTATAGCAACATTTTTATACAAGGGGTCGGGGTAAAACGATAAATCAACCAACTTACGATATAGGTTAATGTACGTGCAAGATAGGCTAAATCACATGTAAATTTAGAGTAAAATTAATCATATGTGAAACGCAGAGACGTTAAATTGACCAGCCATTGCATGTCGACTTTTCATGCAACCTTCTGGCTCTGTTGATTAATTGTGCATGCGTCTTTTTGGATGTGTTGTATCACATATGATTTGGTTGTTCTCGTACCTCTCATAAGTTGACTGTCTTCTTATTTGAAGATACATATAATTGAGATCAAGTGAGAAATAAAAACTTGATGAAAAACGTAAAAACGTTACAATAAAATGTTTAAAAAGTATATATTATTAGAAGCACTTCTTTGAGTGCCTACTTAATCCGTCACAAATTAAGGAAACCATTTTTGGTGGTGGCCGGTGAGGGTGTTTATTTCTCGAAATTCTTCGTAAAATGCCTCCATTTATTTTCTTTGAATGATGTGTATATACAAATATACATCATAAACCTCATCGATTGGCTGAATACTTTGATATAATTGTTCAAAAATGGCAAAGCAACCCTTGTGATATATAATATTTCATGTAAATGATGGAGGATAATATCCAAAAAAAATATATATAACAAGCAATATGCAAGAGAAAAGTCGACGAATGTGTGTGTATATATATATATATATATATATATATATATATGATGTGGTATACGAAGCAACAAAGGAGTTGAGATCATAAAGTATTCAACATTATCACACAAGCATCAAAACCATCAACAAAACAGCAATTGGTGTTCTACACATATACACACATATATA